TCCATCATTAGGAAGTAGCAAGGATGATCATATATCATATCATACCTAAAAAGCCCACCAAAACAAGCATTTATTGAAGTCTTTTGTCATTGTTGGGAGACAATTTCCCATGGGTCTCTCACATTTCTGTATATCTTATGAAAGAAGCACTGGCTGCTTCTGTTCTGAAAGACTTTTTAAAAGATGTTTGTAAAGTAAACAGCCTTGGAAAATGGAAATAGCATCTCCTTCCAGAGCAAAGGGAGGTATATTTACTATCCTTTATAAAAGATTTGAATTCTTTAACTTCAGCGTCTTTTCTTGAAATGTTTAGGTATCATCTGATCTGTTCTGTGCTGCCTTGTGGAAATTGGGGCTCAGGGAACCAGTGTAAAAATGCTATCACTTTTGCTACTGCTATTGCTGTGAATGATAAATTGTCCTTCCCTGACCCAGAAGTCTGATGGGTAGAAGTACCAGCATCCAAGAATCTGTGGCAGGCATTCATGTCAGCCTAAAAGCAGAGTAGCATCTCATACCCTTCAGAAATTTTTGATAATGTTGGTGATGAGGATGGGATGCTGACAGAGATACAGCTTTCTTTATGGAAAAGAAAGGATGAGGGTCTCACAGGTCCATTAACGGGATTTGAGAGAAGTCTGAGAATCAGCAGCAGATTAGATAGTCAACTGGCCAATAAATGGGCCTCCACTTCTTTGCTTGTTACTGAAAAGGAATTGAGGAGGTCATTGCAGGCTAAGTAACAGGAAATAGGTAAAATACCCATACCAAAATGTAACAGGAAGTAGGTAAAATATCGATACCAAAATGTTGTTCTGTTGCTAATTCTACTCGGGGTGAGGACTTCCTTGCCAATCTGGTGGCTAGCCTCTGATCTGCAGCACTAGTTACCACTAAGATCTGTACTGGGTAGGCAGGAGGTTGCTTCTCATTTCAGACAATAGAGATAGGCTCACATACATTGAGTGTGTGAGGGGGAACACCATGGCCAGACACCAGGTGAATCACTGGAACTTTGACTGCTTCATATGGGAAAGAAGGAGTATATTGCTTGTTAAGGAATAAGGGCAAGTGGTAGATTGTCTTATGGCTAAACCTCTCCTTCATTCCATCATGCCAAACTTAGATCCATTTGGAAGTGATAGTAGAATCTCAGAGATTTTTACAGAGGGTTCTGGCTGCTATATTAGCTTTCTCGGGGAGATTTTCCTGAGGTAGAAGAACTCCTGTGGGAAACTAAAGATGAGGTCTTTACTAGTATCTGAACTCTTACTCCCCTGGATTGAATTTAGAATTCTGATGAAGTTGACTTACTGGAGAATGAGAAAGAAACCCAAAGAAATCTAGATAAATTCTTGACGTCACCACTACTGTGCAGGAAAACTCTCTCAGCCCTCATGTTGAAACCATCAAGAACTTAAGAGATGTTATCTAGACAATAGTGCAACTAGGGTCCAAATTAAGGTGGATTCCTTAAAGAAGTTCACCACTGTGTGAGTAAGGACTGAGTCAGCCAGAGGTTGCAAACACCACCATCCTAGCAAAAGAACAACGTGGCTATGGTTTCTGAGTTCAGGAATTCCCAAGGCTGAAATAGATGGTGTCAGCCGTGAGGGCTTTGCTCTCCCATTTAGAGTATTGGATGGGCCAAACATATTCGAAGTCCATTTGGTTATGCCATTAACCATCACCACATCACTTGAAACTGAAAGTACATATGATGCCTCACGTCTTCCCTGCTCCCTGATTCCTCTCTGCACCCCTACCTTGACCTATGATTTAAGGAGAAATGGGATTAGAGGCCAAGGTTTACCTATGCCCAACAGAGAACAAAGGACATATGCACCAAGCTGAATAAGCTGGGGAATTTCAGTGGGGAGAAATAATCAAGGGGGTGTGTTGGATATAGATGCCCGAGTTACTCTCTTACCTGGTTCTGGTCACTTAGATTCAGCTAACGGGGTTTTAGCTAGGATTCACAGTGGGAAAGGCAAGCTAACATTATCAATTAGACTCAATGACTAACAACGCAAGAAAGGGTCATATAGACCTCACTTATCAAATGGAAATGGCATATTTGAGCTCTCAGCCTGCCTGGCTTCAGGGGCCTCTCAGTTTTACATGAAGAAAATGGCTCTCCCAAACTGTTGCAAGCGTCCTAAATTTAATTCTCTGCTGAATCTGCCATTCCCTGCCAGACAGCTCTAACCATGATTTTATCTATATTCCTCTTAATCTCAGCAGGAAATGTCTTAGAAATAGTAGGGGATGGCCGCAGCTTCTGAGTTTCCCATGGGAAATACCTGTCAACACCTCTGGACGTCATTCCCACTCCCATTTCTGTAAGTATTGCTTAGCCATTCAGTGGGGCAGACAAACGTCACTAGATTGTTGATGTGCACAAATAGGACAGGTTAGATTGACTGCCCTCATGCAGCCCTTCTAAAACAAGGACTAGAATTAATAATTCGTGCTTAACTTAGAGGGTGAAATCTCAGACCCTTCATGGGTCTTGAAAGTCAGAAGGAATTGGTTATCGAAATAGCTCTGTGGTCTCCTCTAGGTCAAGACGGTGAAGCCATCATTATTATTAACAGCCCTACATCCCTATGTATCATACAGTCATACTTACTCAATAAATGTTCACAATCAGAATGAATAGGATACAGAGCTTTTAAATTATCTGTTTAAATTTAAATGTTTTGTAAAATTTTTATTGTTGAATAGATATTACATATACTGTTACTACTTCCATTTCCTCCCTCTTCTGGACACTTTCCTTTGAATGATCCTTGAAGATTTAGGTTTCTTAAAAGACAAACTTGATATTTCAAGTTTATGTTAAAAGTGTATAATTAGTGGGGCTGGCCCCGTGGCCGTGTGGTTAAGTTTGCGCGCTCCACTGCAGGCGGCCCAGTGTTTCATTGGTTCGAATCCTGAGCGGGGACATGGCACTGCTCATCAAACCACGCTGAGGCGGCGTCCCACATGCCACAACTAGAAGGACCCACAAGGAAGAATACACAACTATGTACCGGGGGGCTTTGGGGAGAAAAAGAAAAAATATAAAATCTTAAAAAAAAAACGTATATGGATTTAAAAAAAAAAGTGTATAATTAGTTACATTTCCTTTAGAGAATTACCCTATGACCTACCGAGATTGAATTAACCATTGGATTCATTAGTATAGGACTATCTATATCAGTTAATACTAATAGGTTCCTGTATTCTCAAAAAAAAAAAAAAATCTGTGTCAGAGTTAGAATTAACATGTGAAGCAATGGAAACATATGCTTTTTTAAGGACATAGATTATTTTTGCAAGAGACTTTGCCATGGCGTAGCTCCATCCATTTTGGCAAGGCATACTAAGTTGTAGCCTTTTCGATTTTTCTCTGGACATCCTTGTTCAGTAATGTGGCGGCTTCCCTAGGCTATGGCCAGCTGGTGTCCCGTTGCTGCTTATTCTTAACCGTCCCTCCAGCTATACTGTAAGCTGCTTGAGGTCAGAACCTATGTCATATTCATTCTTGGGTCTGTAATCACTGCTTCAGTTCTTGCCATGTGGTAGGCCCTCAGTAAGTGGAGGCTGAATAACACTCCAAAGAAATTAGGTCGCTGGAGCCTGAGAAATGTAGCTCTCTTTTCAGTCAAATCTGTATGTTAATTGGTTTAAAGAAGGCCACTTTCTAAGACAAGACTTCCTCCTCAGCTTTTAGTCCAGCCACCTAGCAGTCTGGATAACAGATTCCCCTAACTTTCATCAACCCAGGCACACTTAGACAACACAGTGTTCTTTCCGATAACGTAGCTGAGATATCAATCAATGTTACCGTGCTACTCTTCCTAGATGACACTGATGAGCCGCCATCACCAAGAATACATTTCAAAGTTTACTTTTTACTCAGTAATAATGTCGCTTCCCTATTGATTTAATCATTCACTTTCACTGATCTCTCTGGCCATTGGTGAAGAGAAAGCTAAAAGTGCCAGTATTTTCAACTGTGGACTTGCAACTTTGTGAAACAAATTTATCTTCTCTGATCACCTGAGTTATTCCCAGACTACGGTGACAACAAAACCAAAAATACATGGATGCAGAAACTTTCTCTGTGGTGACAAAAAGATTGACTATGCATAGAGATGAAGCTGTAACAAACTATAAGTTCATTGCCACCGCTTTGCTTACTGAAACCAAAATCTGTTTTGAGTAATATTTGTCAATGAACTGTCTATTAAGAGTCAAAATGGAAGTGTTCATGGGATGTGATTACCATGAAAGAAACTTATGCCATATTAGTGAAGAATTTATAATGAAAATTAAGCAAAAATATTAAAATATTTTTAGGTGTGCCAATGACATCAATTTAAAACTGGTGCTCAAAAATTTAAACATTTAAAGTATTTTCCAAGCTTTAAGCTGAAAGTGGGGAAGAGTGAGCAAAAAAAACCTTTACTTTCAACTATGATGGTTACGGGGCTAGGCTGTCCCTGAGGAAGCACAGACTTTTATTTCATTTCATTTTCAATTTTCTTTAACACTGAAACTGATTTCTCCTTTATTACCTTCTCAAAATAAAATAATGGGGAAAACATTTTTATTTTATAGAAAGATGTACAGCATGGAGTCAGGAGATCTGGATTCTAATTCTATTTCTATTAAGTACTTAAGAACCTTTGGTAAGTTATTAGTAAAATGATGGGAGTGGAATGCCCTCTACCCCCTCTAATCGATATCTAAATTCTGTCACTCCTTCTATTAAAAATGCCAAGCATTGCGGGGCCGGCCCGGTGGCGCAGCGGTTAAGTTCGCACGTTCCGCTTCTCGGCGGCCCAGGGTTCGCTGGTTCGGATCCCGGATGCGGACATGGCACTGCTTGGCAGCCATGCTGTGGTAGGCGTCCCACGTATAAACTAGAGGAAGATGGGCACGGATGTTAGCTCAGAGCCAGGCTTCCTCAGCAAAAAGAGGAGGACTGGCAGTAGTTAGCTGAGGGCTAATCTTACTCCAAAAAAAACAAAAAACAAAAAATGCCAAGCATTGCATTTGCAGCTAAATGAATAAAAGCAAATTTCACATAGTCAGCCACATGTAAAATCGCAGCATCTGAATGTTTCTTTTCTGTAGGAATTTTAATTGTACTTTAGAGTTGATCTTAGGAGAGTATCACTTTGATAGCATGGTTGTAAAACTTGAGTCATCATGCTAGTTTTGAAATAGTCATTTTGCTTATTCTTTGAGAAGGCTTTTTCTTAAGTATGCCTCCCATTATGGAGTAAAGATAGAAAACAAAGCCATTTGTAAACATTTATACAATAATATGATATTTACAAATACAATTTGGGGATTATTTTGAGTTCATTAAATTTGCAGCATTGTATAAGATACAGGCTCTTGTAAATTTGTAAATAAAAGTGCAAATATCCAAAAAAATTGATTAATACATCCACAAATGTAAACAGGAAAACCTGATAAATATATGCTGATGTATGAAAATATTTTATGCAGTTATCCTTTGACTGAATCTTCCTGCTTTCATAAGACACTAAATCACTTGACTCTTTATCTAATAATGTAATTTTAGGTGTGTGAGAGTATGTACATTTTCCTTCTTTCAAGCTTTGGTTTTTAAATTTGGCTTGAATTTTATTTAGGTCAATTAGTTTACATAAGATAGTTTGCCTATAATATCAGGATTTTACTGAATAAAATAAACGAACCACTTCATAAAAGAAATTTATATTTTTATTGCTGTAATTAAGGAGACATTTCTTAAATCTAAATTGGAAAACAGCTGTTATTCCAAATATCGAAATCATAGGACTTGTATTTAGTTGCCTTTGTTTGAGTAAAGAATTGAAGCAAGTGTCCGTAGGTTTTTATCCTTTCTCTCTCTCTCTCCTTTCTTGTCTGCTTTCTCTTCACCACACACAAGCCAAAAAATGGTTTCACATGAAACATTCAACTAATAGCAATTCGTTGGTGAGACAATCTATATCATTTCCACAAGTTTTAATTTCTCTTTACCAGTTTTAAATTTCTCTTTACCATTGTAAACACTTAATTTAGACCCATCCCATCCCCTAGGTGGCATCTAAGTATGAGCATTATTAGATATATCTTAATGATATTCAAAGATATCCCATTCAAATTTTGGTACACCTTGTCTCCCTATGTGTTATATTGAACTATTATTGCACAGCTGTAATAATGACGATAACATTAAATTTAGGCAGATTCTCTTGAGTTCAAGCTCACCAAGAGTTCTTAACAGAAATTTCTGCCATTACGTATGGCAGACTAATTATTTGTATCTCATAGACTATTCTGAGGCCATTTTAATATTGCACATACTACAATCACACATTCTCTCAAAAGGTTTACTGAGACATTTCTGACAATGTTTAGAATTTGACGTTAATTAGAATTACATTAGCATATACTTCTTTGAACTTATCATTAACACAATGATAGGTAATAATTGATCAAAGTCAGCATTGCTCCCTGCTTTCCTTTTGTTCAACCGGGATGTATCTTTTTCAATACAGATTCATCATTGTTGGATATCTTGCATACAGTAAGCACTCCACTGTTATCCAAAGGGTAAAAGCATTTAAAGAAAAAAAAATTGTGATCTTTTGATTCGGCTCATAACTTACCTATTATCTATCCACCTGATATGATCACATGTGAATATCTGCAGTACTTGTTAAGTTTAAATACTTAGTTTTCAATGTTCTTCTTAGTTTAACCCACTAAAACTTCCAAATTTAGAAAACCAACAGTAGACAATCCTCATAGTCCCTCTGGACTTTAGATGCAGCTCTCCACGTTTACTTAAAATCACCCCTTGTCAATGACTTGCTCGCTACATTTCTGCCTATGTCTACACAAGAAAAGAAAAATGAAGGACAGGATACAGTTTGAGTTAAAACAAAATTTAAAAAAATTCTTGACATTCGGGGAGATAAGAGTTTAAGGCGATCTTCACCAAACAAATTCTCTAGATGATTGTTCAACTTTCTCTATTTCTTGTGTAGGCAGAGACTCGCTTGTTTAAGGCAAGGAAACATTCTCTCCATCAACTGTGAGAGCAAGAACACCAATTTAATTCTTATTCCCTCAAAATTATTTAAAATAATAATAACAGTATTACCAGGAAATTTGTATTCAAAAACTACATACTCAAATGGAGCACCTTCTAAAGTTTCTAACATTTATTTCTGAATATGAATACTCATATCTGCATTGCTTAGAACACATGCTTTATGACCAAGGGTTCTATAGAGTAAAATATGCTGAAATTAACATGTTTTCTTCATTTCTTTAAAGAATCAAATCATAAATTGTGTGAAGGTAGTTTTGTTTTTAAGATTTCATAATATGGGGAGTAGGAAGTACAAATTTTAGTATTCCAACTGTCTCCCTCTGTGCTCATTCATTCCTTCATCTCCCTTGCTCATAATTCATTCATTGAACACAACCTCTTTTTTTCTCTCAAACCAACTAGAAATACTAAAACGTTTAACATGGTTTCAGAAGAAAGGGCTCTCACCCTAGGAAAACTTCTACAGAAAGACTGGCTGGATGCTAACATGCTGCACCCAGAGAGTGCGGGAGCCTTTGGTACCACGTTTTCTGATCCTCCCACATTCCCCTTAGCCACTAAACCTAAAGAAAAACAAGGGCTTTGGCTTATTGGAAATTCAAAGAAGATTTTAAAGGGTGAGATTGGTGCTACTTTCTACTCCTTCAAAGAAAAAGCTTCTTATCCTCAAAAGTTGCTGAGCTTTTGATAGTGTTGTTGCTGAAGGAGATTCATCACCCAGTCAGGTGCGCGGTTCTCAACCTGGAACTAAGACTGATTTCAGGGGAACAGGTGAAATAGAAGCGTTCCCTGAACTCAGCTAAGACGTTTCTGAATGAATGGAGGGAATCTGAGCAATGTAAATAGTTGTGCTCTTTAAGACAACAATAACAAAAAGTTTAGTAGCACAAGGTTCGTTTTTTGTCTTTCTTTTTTCATGCTTGCTCATACCCTAAACACTCCAGGTGCTCAGAAACACACAGAGTAACTGTACAAAAGCCAAGATCACCTCGTGTCTATGTCAATTTCCTGAGGTGACTGTCAGAAAAGCTGGAGCGGCACCACCTTGTCGGGGGAATGAGGTCAGAATTCACTGGGAGATCCATTTGCTCTGACAAGGAATACGGCGGGACAGTGGGGCTTCCGAGCAAGGCTTCGAAAAAGGAGGGAAGGTGGGTCAGGGGCGGACTTTGTGCAGAAGGCTTTGTCAGCGCCAGAACGGGTGAAAGGTGGCAGATGGGGGAGTCTGCCGTCTGGCAGAAGCGGGAAGTCAGAAAGGAGGAACGCAGGGACGGTAAGGGCAGAGAAGACCCTATTTGGGGGGGCCTGGAGGGTCGAGGCCATACACTGCCACTGGGAGCTTGGGACCTGGAAGGTGAGGCGGGACCGCGGGCTGCCGGCAGCAGTACCCGGGAGGGACAGGGGTTCAGGTTGCTAGCAGGTGGAGTTGAAATCAAACAGCCCCTTGGGGACAACTAAACAGTGCCCTCCCGAGACCCCCTACCTGGAGGTTGAGGAATCGCAGCAGGTGGTTTGGAGTACCTCCTTTAAGCAAAAGATGTTCCCTCCAAGCCAAGCCTCGGCGCCGGACACCCAGCGCTCTCCTGTCTACTCACTGGTTCTGGGAGGAAAGCGCCATCCGGGAGCGCGCGAGGGCTGCGCGGCGCAGGCGGCAGGCAGGGCCGGGCGGCGGTGGCGGCGCTGTCCTAGGAGAGGGACTGGAACCTGGGGGCACCGAGGCGGCGACAGCGGCAGCGGGGGCGCAGGGAACTGCGAGCTAGGAAGGCTGTGGATCCAGAGCTGCTGCGCCGCGCGCGCTCTCTGCACATCTCCGGCTCCGCTAAAGCGGCTACTGCTGCTGCTGCTGGGAGGGAGGGAGGCGAGGGGGAGGGGAGGAGGCAAGCGGAGGGGAGGGAGGGAAGAGAAGGGAGGTAGGGGAGAGCGAGGGGAGAAGGGGAAATGATCACCCAGAGTGGGGTGGAGAGAGGGATGGAAGGAGGGAGGCGCACACGAGCCCAGCAAAGGTTCCCACCAGACGAGCTCGGGGAGGAGAAATCCAAGATGAGATGGGTCTCTTTCCCGCCCCCCACCTCTTCTCTCCTCCTTTCCCCTTCGCGCCCTTTCCTTTGGCTCTTTCTCCCGTGGCTCAGGCTAGGGGTTACCAGGCTCGGCAGCAGCAGCGGCTTCAGCACGCTGATGCAAGTGCTGAGGCCAGGAGAAGGCCGCGACAGCTCCCCGCGCCACCGGCCTGAGGCACCTGTGCGCGCACACACTGCCGCTCGTTCCATTGCGGGGGCTCCCCGGCAGGGATCTGCGGGCCGTCTCCCTCCCTCTCTTCCTTTCTGTTCAGATTATGATCATGCATGTGCATGCATGACATCTGTGTAGTCCGCCTATTGCCGTCTGCTTCCCTGGGCGCTCTTTGGCACAGGGTGTCTGGCCAGAAGGTACTGGCTGGGAACTCAATGCAGGCAACCATCGCCAACCCCTAGGAGCTGTCGCTTGTGCAGGCATATCGTTTGTTCGCCACCTGGGTTGACCAGCTAACAAAGTAAAAATTAAAATTCTATGACCCGATTGCCTGGGACCATGTTCTCAGTGATCTAGGAAGGCTGTAAGTATGAAGAGCACAGGGGCAGTCTTTTCCCCTCTCAGTTCTCCTCCTCCCTTTTCTGAAAACCCTAAAAACAGGACACGACTTAGCCCATTTAAACGAAATATTTCTCAGTCTTTTTATTGCAGATCTTTTTGTTTTTACCCAAATTCTCCTAGGGTTGGCCTCGCTTTCCTGTTGTGGCTTTATTTAGACTATGAATCAGTTCTGTTTATTGGCAAGCTACGAAGACACATGAAAATAGATACTGTATTTAGCTCCTGGACACTCGCAAGCTCGAGGAGGTGAATCTATACATTCGGTAAATATAAAAACAATTGGGACATTATTAACTGATTTCCATGAACCAGAATTTTGTTGCATAATCTTCATGTGGTAGTTGAGGGTAGGCAGAGAGCAAGTAGATTACGTGTTTAAAAGATAGAACTAGAAAAAAAGTCTAGTAAAACTCTCCTCAAAATACCATGCAAAGCGATCAAATTATTCCCTATGGGCACCGTGGAGGGAAAGTTTCTGATTTTGTTTGTGTGTTTTTTAAATTTTAGTAGTCTTTCAGTTACTTAAGAGTCATTCTTAAAAATCAAAAGGACCTTACCCTTTAGAATAAATAAATTAGGCACTTTATTTTTCTTGTGTGTCTTATATAACCAATGTACTCATATTAAAATGGGTGCACTCTCAATTTTAAGTGTAGCATGGAGAAACATTTTCGTGAATAAAGCATACCCAAATTTAATGGAAAGCCTCTAATTCTTCCCATATACATGCACATCAGAAAAAAAATGGTGATAACGTATTACTAGATGGTCTAGCTATTCTCAACTTACTAGAGTTTTTCTGTAGAGTATATCTGCTAATGAAAATATTTGCTTTCACATCTACCTGATAATCTGAATGAGATACGTACCTCCTCATTAAGGGAACAACAGATATCAAACTCTTCTAATACACTTCAGCTTTCAAAGGCAGGTGTTACTGTCTCCAGATGTTCAGCATTGCACCGTGCAAATTCACCATATGCTTATTCTTTCAAAGAAGACCATAGAAAGAAGATGATTGGTGAAGACCTACAGCTCATTTGACTCTCTAAGTCTTCTCAGCTCTGTCTCTATTACAGAGTGAGCAGGAAATTTTTCAAATACTAGTGGCTATTTGGGCAGGGAGTGGTTACCAAGAATTAAATCTCCATTTTTCTCTTTAGAATATTTAGGATATCCTGTTTAGGATATTCCTCATCCCTCCTTTGCCAAGGTAATTCTCTTTTGAGAATTTTTACTATTTTCCTCCTATATTTGATTATGAAACTGTAATAGCCAATATCTGTATAGTATCATTTTCTGGTTGAAAAAGGTAAAGAAAAAGTGTGAACTAAAATATATTAAAGTCAAGCAAGAGGAAGGGATGACATTTAGAGCACAGCTAGACAAGTTTCTAACTCTTTACTCTTCAACCACTTGACCCACCAGAACCAAGAATAGGATGATAAAAGATAAAATGGCCTTTCAGCTCTTCTGCTGGAGAACTTGGATTTCAATTTAGATTCTCAGGCTGGGTGAAAACTTTTCCATCACTTCCATCACACCGTTCTCTCCCTTTTATATTTCTGTCCCTTTCTACGTCTCCATTAGTGTCACACTGTATCTGGCATTACAACATAGGAAGCCAAATAAATTTAAAGAATAAAAAGCTTTATTTTAAATACTGACTCTTTGTATCTACTTAGTTGAAAACAAATTCTCACATGGAAATTTTCTGAAATCAGAAAGATCTAAAGCCCTATCTTAGAACAAATACTGCATAGGTGCCAGAGATTGGTTATCAAAAGAAATATGATGCATCTATTTATTGAACCCAGATATTTAGGAAGCACTCCTTGCGGGCAAGCACCATGTTAGGCTCTGGGGACACCACAGTGAAGAAAGTTGGTAACTGCCCTGTGAAGCTTAGAGTCTAATGATCCAATAAAAGTGCTTTATCGTTAAGAAAGATGTGGTGATGGTGATGATGATGATAAATTTCAAGCCCAAGGAAGAAATATTTCTTTATTAAATTATAGGCATTCATGAGATTAGGGGTAAAGGAATATAGATTATTCGGGTTTGCTTGTGCAGCCAGTTCTTATGTGAATTGTTGAAGAAAAGAGAAAGAAGTTAGGGAAAAAAGTAAAATTTGTTGTAGTGAAAGGAAACCATGGAATACTTTTTAGGCCAGTGAAAATTTTGATGAGCTTTAACTTTTAAAAATAAGCATCTGCTCTTATTGGTGGGGAGAAACAGAGAGTAAAAATGTCTTTGAGTTTGTAGAAACTTCTGAAAAATTATGTCTGTACCAAATAATATATATGATTAGTACTGCTGAATACATGGATAGAATCTGGAGTGAAGATGATGGCAAAAATCAGCAATTTCCTCCCTTCTGAAGAATATAAAGCAAAAAGGAAAATTTAAGAAGAAAAAACCTGCAAATTCTATTTTTGGCAAAATCAGGAGATAGATAATCTGCAGTTTCCAAAATATGAGTACAAGATGTCAAAACTGCTGAGATCAGCCAGAAGGCTCAAAAGAGGAAGGAGAAGAAAAACAGATAGTGGGCCCAATGATGTCTAATCTTAGAAAGCATTGCTGAAAATATAATTCCTAAATGTGAGAGCTGTCAGGTAGAAAGGCTCTTTCCCTGGGTCACAACAATGGATTCAGGAACTGAAACTGTGTTATAGTTGCAAAAGGAGGAAAAGAAAAAGCATGGCAAGTGTAGAGAGAGCTCAGTTGTGGCTAATTTTACTAAACCCAAGAAAGGTATGCTTCCTGAAGGTGAATTGCTCATCTTGACTTGCCAAACCTATACATCTTATTTAAGCAATTAGTGTGGGAACCCCTAAGGCTGACAAAAGCCCTCTTGGCTATGTCCTGTCGGAAGGAGTGGAGGGCTACACAAAGATTAAACAGCGGAGTGATATTTGCCAAAAGCAGTCTATCTCTTTAGCTGCAGAAAAGACAGACCCTTTGTAAATCCTAGATGGCTATTTTCCCCTCTCCTTTTCCTAGGAACTTAGAGAAGAAAAATTTATCTCAGTTAATTATGAGTAATAAAAAAGAATGGGCACAGTTCAACACAAAAATAATATAGGAAAAGAGTTACAGAGCTGCACCAAAATGTACCAATTGTTGGAAAACACATACCATAACACTGTTGCCATGGAGAAGTTGAAAAATTTGTCTTAACATTCTGCCATGAATTTTCATAAGGGCACAATGAAGGAATTGCTTCTGTGAATGAAAACTACAAGGCACAAATGCAAGAGCTTGGGAAGGGTTGAAGAGACGATAGGAGCTGAAGACCCAAAGCTGGCAAAACTCAGGAAAGAAGTGGAACTAAAAATAAAACCATCACAAATTAATAATGAATATGGAAGAATTACAAGATAAAATACACACTGAGGTAAACACAGTAAGGGAAAGAGAGAATGAGAAAGGCTAGCAAAATGAACTGGAAATAAAGAGATAAGATTAGAGATGCTATGAAAGATGGATAAGAGAGACGAGCTTAATCCAATACATACGTAATTAGAGACTCTGAAGAAGAAAAATAATGGAAAAGAATAAATATTTAAATATAGTAATTAATGTTAAAGAAAGAAACATTCTTGAAATGAAAGAAGAGTTGAAATTTCACTTTTAAAGAATGCAATGATTACTAGGGAAAATTGCCCCGGAATCATCACCGCCTAGATGTATCCTAGTATGATAACTAGAATTTAAATATAATAAAGAATGTTTTGGGCATGCAGGCAAAAACAATCAGTAACTTATAAAGGGAAATATTGAGATTGGCCTCAGAATTTTTCACTACGACATTCTTAGCAGATTAGAGTCATTCAATATCAGTGGAGGAAAGCCCAAAAAGTACCAAAGAAAATAAAGTGAGAGCTAAGGTTTTTTCTATTTAGCCATACAGTCTGTAAAGTATAAAGAATGTAAACAAACAGTTTTGAATATGAAAGAACTAAAGGAATATTATTCTCATGAATCTCTCTTCAGGAAATCACTAGAATAGAGAATGAAATTTAGCTTTCTAAGAGATAACTGGAAGAGATAACTGGATCAAGGAGTGATTGTAACCATTGAATGGATTTAACTATGGATCTGAAATTTGAGAATATGAGAATTAGAGCAAAATAATAGAATATAAATCTCACAGACCCTGACAATATAAAAAATGATATATCTAAACAAAATTTGGATGAGAAGGGCAAAAAACATGGAATATAAAGGCATTGGTTATCTAATGACTGGGAATCAATAAAGATTCACTTAAAGAAACAAATAAGTAGTCTAACATATTTCACAATACAAAGGTAAGCTATAATCAAGATAATATTGACTAAATCATGTAGTAAAGGAGGAAGACAGGGAAAAGCAAAAACTACTAATTTTTATCATTGCCTATTTTAGCAAACTAACAGATAGTATAAAAATAGAGAAATACAGGGGCAAGCCCCAAGGTGTAGTGGTTAAGTTCACGTGCTCCACTTCCACAGCCCAGGGTTCATGGGTTCAGGTGTCTCTCGTGGACCTACACCACTCATCAGCCATGCTGTGGCAGTGACTCACCCACAAAATAGAGGAAAATTGGCACAGATGTTAGCTCAGGGCTAATCTTCCTCAAGCAAGAAATAGAGGAAGATTGGCACAGATGTTAGCTCAGGGTGACTCTTCCTCAGAAAGAAAAAATACATTCAATTTATAAAGGAATAATTATAAAAATAACAAAAAACAAAATAAAAATCATAAATATTGAGAATGCACACATATAGAAATAAATAACAGAAAACAGACCACAGAGTGAAGGAATTTTACAAAGTTAAAAAGCAAAACTTAGCATAAAACAGTATGGCAGAACCAAGAGTAAACATATCCTTCATATCAATAAATGTAAATAAGATTATCTCATTTTCTGTGAAAACAGAGATTTTTAGATTGGATCACAAAACAAATAATATTTTATGTTTTATATCTACAACAAGAAAACTCAGAATGTTTGAAAAATAAAAGGGTAGACAAACAGATACAGGTAAATGCAAACAAAAAGTAAGCAAGTATTGCAATCTTAATCAGAGACAAGGTGTCACACAAACCAAAAACATGTTAACCGAGATGCAGAAGAGGATTTTATGACTATAATTACAAGCACCTTCCTATGCATACAAAACAATTATGAATATCTATGTACCAAATAGTATAGCAGCAACGTAGCTATATCAGAAATTATATACAAGAAGATAGTGCGAAACTCACTATTAGCAGGAGTCTTAATGCTTTTAATTCATGAGAATCCACATGTACAGACAAAAAAGAAACACGTTAAAGATTAAATATCATATACTCTTTCCAGACCAGTCTCACTTAGGAGAATCAATGGAAAATTCTAGTTAAAATATTAACAAATGAACCCGAACAGCACATTATAAGAACTCACTATTATCACCAAGTGTGTATTTTTTTGAGATTATAAGGATGTTTCTATACTAGAAAAGCTATTAACATACTTTATCACTTCTCTCATCTGTAAGATGAAAATAAAATATCAGTACCCACTTTACAAGAATTTTTACAATGATTTAAAGAGTTATTGCATACAAAATCTTTAGCATGAGTGCCTGGAATATAGTTAGCCCTTCATAAATGTTATCTGCTGTGTTTATCAGCTTTCATAGGATATTAAAAAGTGACTATGCTTGTGATAGTTATATAAATCTTTTTTTCATTTTCTGGAATAATAAACTTGTTGTGTTGATTTATTAATGTTGTGTTCTCATCTTTTGTCCCTTCTCCTCAGTGTTTTCATTGCTATTTTTTAGGTCGTCTGTTCTTTTTGTATCATTATTAAAATCCTGCTAAGTATTAAAATCAATTTGCAAATTCTGTGTACTGTAAACTGTCCATTTAAAAATAACCTTGAATTATAATAGTAATATATGAGTACACTCTCCCTCTTTTTTAAATAGACATTATTTTTTAGAACAGTTTCAGCTTGACAGCAAAATTGAGCAGAAGGTACAGAGATTTCCCATATAACCCTCAACCCCCTCTACACACAATCTACTACATTCTGCACCAGAGTGGCACATTTTTTCCCACTGATGAACCTATATTAACATATCATTATCACTAAAAGTCTATAGTTTACATTAGGGTACACTCTTGGTGTTGTACATCTTACGGGTTTTGACAAATGTATAATGATATATGTCCACCATTAGAGTACCATACAGAATCATTTCACTGCCCTAAAAATTGTCTGTGCCCCACCTATTCATCCCTCCCTCTCCACTAACCCTTGGCAACCACTGATTTTTTTCACTATCTCCATAGTTTTGCCTTTTCCAGAATTTTGCACAGTAAATAATATTAAGATTGTTACCAGCTTTATTTTTGCTAGTTTTGGACTAATATATCTTGTATCATTGTATATAAAATTTTGAGTTTTTGCTTCACAAGTGTCTTATAAGTGGCATACATTTAGAATATCTTTTCTAAGACACGAGGAAAGTTCTTTTTATTAGATGTGTTTAACTTTACTCTCATAAAGTGTATTATCTCTGGGCTATCATATTTTGTTATTATTTGCTATGCTTTTTTTCTGTTCTTCGTGTTTTCCTTGAATTACTTGATTTTTCTTCCCTTTTTTATTGTTTTGAAATTTATATTTAATTCCTATATTAATTTTCATTCCAGTAGTTATCCTCAAATTTTTGACAGCAGTATCTTAGACTTAATTGTTACGTCAAACACGAAAATTGGTCATTGGCAATATCCTATCCCTGAAAAGAAGAAGAACATGACTAGCCTCTTAACTGCTTCAACATCTCATGATAATGTCTGTCACCTCTCGGCCCAACACACTTGATTCATGTTGTTCTGTCTCGGAATTTAGTTGTAAATCATCACTAAATATTTTTAATCATTATCAAATTTCAGTAACGTTTATTCATTTCTTTGTTCAATTCTTATTTATCATACTACTGTTTTCAAAGTCTTTGCTGAAGGAATCTGTTGGTACTACTTTCCACATGGATATTTATATGCATATCCAAGAGCAATGATAAAATAAATATCCTTTCAGATATACGAAGTTCATTGAAATTGTGTATATAATGGAGTTTATATATAATTTATATATATTGTATATTTATATATAATGTATAATTTACATATTATATAATAGTATATAATAGCTTATATATAATTTACATGTTATATAGAATATAATATATCCTATGTTATTATATATAATATAAACTCTATTATATATTATATATATAATTTCAATGAGCCCTTGATTATATGAAGGGATATTTATTTTATCTTTGTTCTTGAGTTTGGAAAAGGAAGTTATTATAATTTATAATTCTAAGTTCACTGTCAGGTTTCTTCAAAATGTTAACGACATTGATCTATTGATTTCTTCTTTTAAATATTGCTGATAGGAATTCTAACATCATTCTAATCTTCTTTTGTTTTTAAGCAGTCTCTCTTTACTCACTGTTTACTTTTAGGAATTTGTTTATTTATTTCTATTTGCCTCAGAACTGTCACTTTTATGTTTTATACTATTTGAGACTTAGTAGGTTTTTTCCATCTGAAAATAATTAATTCTTTATGTCTAGGAAATTGTTAGCAATAATTTTTTAAAAACATTCTTTCCTGTTTATTTTTTCTATTTTCTCCTTATGAACTGTCTATTAGACAAGTGTGAGGAAAGAGTTGACATAGCATATCTGGTTGCTCAATCCTTGCATGCCTTCAAATGAGCCTGGTTTTATGATTGATCTACAATTCCTTTGAATGTGGCCCTCAGAAACTCCTCTATGTTAATGATTAAAGTTATTCTGTTATACACCTAGAGGAACGGACTTTGTTATTCTAGCTTAGGAGAATTGCTTTGCACAAAAGTCAAGATTGGTGATGTGCACCTGGTTTCATAGTTGGGGTCCTGAGTTTTAATTACCATGATTGTTTGCTTAGCAGAATATGCCTCTGTGAGCAGAATCATAATAGCTTCAGATTCTGAAGACTTGAGCAGATTTCTTTGCCCAGAGACATTTCACCAGGTTCCTGTGGTTCACTGCTAGAGAGAAAGCATATCCTGTGCTGAGACATAGAAGGCCTCAGAAGATTGCACCTGGTCTCTCTGGACTCCATTCAATGTATGTATTTTTCTTATTACTTCTAATCTGTATCCTGTACAGCTTATCTGTAATAAGCCTTTGCCCCGAGTAAAACTTGTTTAGAATCTTGTGAATCAAACTAATGTGGTATTGAGACCCCTGAAACAACAAAGTTTGGAACATTTTAATCTAGCCTCTATTTCTTTTCAGTTTTCTTTCAAACGTTTCATCTCTTTTTATCCTTGCTGTCATTTGAAAGTATTTAACTTAATTAATTTAATTCAATTACTTAAATTTAATTTTCTAGTTTACCAGTTTGCCATGTAAATAAATCTAGTTTCTACTTATTCTATGTATTGAGGGGTTTTTGTTACTGTTGTTTATTTCAATAATTATATTTTCCATTTGCAAAGTCTTGATTTGGTTCTTTGCAAAATTTCTGGTTCTTTTGCAAAATTGCCTTTTCCTGATTCATAGCCATTTGTTCTTGTTACATAACCTGCCATACCTACTTCATAGATATAATTGCAACTTTATCTCTATTTAGACAGTATATATAAATACTTAAAATTTTTTCAGATTGTGATATTACTGTTTCCACAAGAATAAGTTCTTCTTTTTGTTGAGAATATTGTCTCTTTTCATCTATTGGCCATTCCCTGATGGTTGTGCTGCTGTCTTCTGCAGGTAAATATCTGTGTGTATTTATCTATTTATTTATTCATGGTATAATAATTACTTGGCAGGGAGAGAGGAAATGGCCTTATGATTGTCAATCCCTAGCTACTTAGGGTGGCACTGTTTCACCCTTGGCCTTGGAAGGGAGACGTGGGGAGGAAAGAGATGGAGGGAATTGTAGTTGCAGCTCCCAGATTTGAATGGCATTAGACACCAATGCCATGCATTCTGTGACATCTCAGCCACCAGAAGAATTGGGTGAAATTGGCACTTTCTTTTACCTATATTTTCCTTAGTATTTATATTTCTTACTCGTGTAAATTTTCCTTTTTTTCTGTTTTATTTGGATTATATTTTATAAGCTACTGTGTAATATATATTAATTTATGTTTATATAAATCCTTTTTGATCCCCAGGAATGTATTGAAGCTGTCAAATACCTCTAGGGACATCTCATTCACCAGTTCTCCATTTTAATTTTTTTGTCCAGCTTCTCGAATGCCCCAAATTGCATCACGCCTCAGGCAGATGTGATGTTGAACAGTAACCATTGATTGTTTTTGACAAATACCCTGGGGAGAAGATTCTTCCCACTGTGCTAGTGTGAGCTCTAAATCAAGACAAATAAAGAAAATCCCTGTGATTGGAACTTTTTGAGGTAGCTGCCAGACAGATCATATCATTAAAAATTCTCGGGGCATGGGATTCTTTGTGGAGCTAGTGTCAAATCTACCTCTTCCAGTGGCTGCTAGGCTACTGGTTTTCACAGCTAGTAAGGTTACACAGGTGTTGGTTTCAAGACTACTGCAAAGCTGGAGAGAGGGAAATTGGAATAGCAGCAGTTAAAATGCAACAAAACTCTTTTTACGGAGATTCAACCATTTTTGTTTTGTGATAACTGCTTCTCAGATTTTTGCAAGCCTTTGGTTAATTTCTAAAGTTCTGAATAAGTTGACTTTCACAGTTTTTTACTGTGTTTTCATTGCTTTTTTGGAGAAGATTTCCAGTGATCTTTACATTGCATTTCTATAACTCTCTCCCTCATAGGTCCTTTCTAATCTTGCTTTGGCTAAACCAAATCCCACGGTCATACCCAATGCCAAGTTACAAAGAAGTTCAATCCTATTATTTTCCAGAAGGATAACTGGATTTATTTGGTGAATGGCTCTAATAAGAACCAATCACTACAGTGAGTGTGTAGACATTACTTGAAAAATCAATTGAATCCAATATATTTCAAATTGCTTTGTCATGGTGACCCCTATCAATTTAACTATTTTATAGTCAAATTTGTTTAGAAATGTCACGTTTCTAATCAGAAAAAATTTCCAGTTTCTAACCAATGGCAAGCAAACATCTCTACTTTTAAGGATATTTTATATATATATGTATATTTAGCAATAATTTTAAAATTAGACCATAAACATTAAAATGATCTCTTATACAATATTGTTATAGTTCCATTTGTTTTTTTTGTGCATTTTTTATATCATCACAAGAACATTTAAGTCTGAATCTTCTCTGATATTATAGAGAATGGGGCGTATGTATTCTACAGTGCACTTACTTACTGTTAAAGGCAATCTTCAATTAAAAAACAGGCAATGACATAATTTTTCTAGCTAATGGCAATGTATGCATATATTCAAGTGTATGTACAGAGATAGCAAAAGAGCCTCTATTGCACTATTTGAAAAAAAACGTAATATAAGCTGCCTGAAAAGTTAATGTGTTTATTGTATGTAATAGATTTGGATAAATTGCTTCTTATTATAGTTTCTTAGTATGTATACAGATTTATACATCTATTGGGTCAAACATTTGTAGAATTCTTGAAACAGCTTCATAAAATCTCAGGTTTCTAAGAAACACTGTTGGGAGTCCTGAGACTATTTTTGCTGGGAACTCCTCAAAGTGAATAGGTGTAAATATGAGAACGACAGACCAGATAAGTAAGGCAAAGTTCAAATACACTCCCTCAAAAGTAGACAGTGAAGTAGCAGCAACTGAAATGCCAATTCAAATGGCTTCTCTGTGACTATCATCCAGTCCCCAAAGGTGTAACTAATAACTCTTTTTCTGTATTCCCATATTACTTTGTTCACAGCTCCATCTTACTACTAAATACTACCTTACTTGTAGTATAAATAAGTTTCTATCTCCCTTATGAGATTGTGAAGACTCCAGAGGAAAAACCAATTGTTAGGTATATTTTCAATGCACTCATATCTAATAAATACCATAAAAAGTACTCTTGAAATATTTGTAGAGTGAAACAATGAATGAATATGCAGTTGATAATGTTAATCCAATAACTCTTTGCAAAAAATTGAGCGGCTTATAGTTTAAAGACCATTTTTCAGCAATGAAATTGGTGCTTAAAACTATAAATCATTTTTCCCATGAATAACATACTTTTTCTATATCAATGACATTCATACTATAGAAAAACATTGCCATTTATAGACATGATATTTGTGGGAGTGAAGATTGGGGTGATAGGTGGAGGTGATGATGACTTCATGTTAAGTGCAGTTTCAAATTGATAACCAAAAGCGTAGTTTGTGTTTTTGATAAAGAAAAATGAGAAATTCACAAAGAATAAGTTTTCAGCAAATGTATATCTGTAGATTCAGAGAAATATCATTATAAAAGGAAAGTTGGGTACAAATTAAAGAATATACAATAGAATTAAATTAGATTACCTTAAATTAGATTACCTTCAAGGTCCCTTCTAAATGATGAATATTTGTTTTATGTCTCCCATAGTAAATGAATAATGTCTAACTTAAATCTGTATATAGTAGAATTTTTGAGGAGCTGAAATCTATAGGATGTGAGAAAGCAACACACTGAAAGAGTAAATTATGCCTCCTTCTAGAAGGTCAGAAATGGACTAATTTAACAATGAACTTTAAAGCTACCTGAAGCTAGTGATGGGGATGGAGTAGAGGGGCTATAACATGCCTTGGGTAGATGGACAGGGTTGGGTTTCCTACGTTAGAGAAACAACAGACTCATACATTAAGACAAATGCTTGGCCAACTTCATTTCCGACTTTATCATAACAACACTAACAACAACTTATAATTTACTGAGCTTCTTTTATATTACCAATGCTCTGCTAAATAGTTGCTATTATCTTCTTTGGTTCTTACCAGTATCCAATGCAGTTGGTATTGGAGAGTAATTCTTGTCTTTCACTTGACAATTTTCTTTACAGCTGAGTAGCTACTCTTTCCAGGAGAGAACAGTATTGGAGGGAAAGTTGCTGGTCTCATTTCCTTCTTGCCCTTTCACTTACTTCTCTTCATGGAAAGAGAAATAGTATTTCCGAGTAGTGAAACTAGAACTCAGCACATTAGGATACAGTCTCCTTTGGGGGCTGCCTGTTTACATACACATGACACACGGTCTTTCTCTCTTATCCTGTATGGAAAATGCTAAAACTGTCCAACATCTTTACCTGGATGGCGAAGTTGGGGGGGCAGTAATAATTTTGACTTTAGAACTCAATCAGTGTTTTCTGATCTAGATTACTGAGATTAAAATGTATATCATGAAGTCTAACTTACTCCTGGGTATATTTTTTATTTGGATCTAAATTTAAATAATGAATATAAGTCACTAGATTTTAGAGTTGTAAAAACTGAGGCTCAGAGAGGTTAAACCATGCTTAAGGTCATGTAACTTATAAATGGTGAGTTGGGGTTTAAAATACAGATCTCTCTGAACTTCTTGCTTTCATAAACTCTGTCATCTCTCCACTCTCACATCCCCACTCACCAGGCCAATCCCTTTGGAGACAAAATTGGGGAACTTGAACTGCATAACATGAGCCAATATATAATTTTACTGTTAAATTGCTGTTTTCAGAGTGTGTTGGCATAAAACTGTAACTATTGTAAAAAAAAAAAAAAAAGAAGAAGAAGAAAATGACCAGATTAGAAAAGAATTGTACGATCATGGTGTCTTTTGTCCAGGTGAACATCTAAGTAGTTTAGTCAATTTAAGTGGCCCTTCGTTATGCTACAAATGAAGGAATAAATACGTATACCATGGGTAGGCTAGATTGGCTGGTTTTCAAGAAATAAACTGAATCTCATAGTGTTAGGTCATATTTGTACTAAGGTAATTTAGCTACAGCTCTTCCCAGTGGCTGAAGAGAGACTTAACCAGAGTTGCAGCTCTTAGTCCTTCTGTTTCTTATCCTGTGGGAATCAATCTTGTGTCTCTCAGCTGCAGAGTCTCAGGAACAGTGCAGATGGCATCTGGACAAGGTTCAAGGCAGCAGAGATTACAGTTTGTAAGATATAAGAAAAGACTAAGACTTGGTATTCCTTAGCGAGAGGCATGTATGACTGATTTGAGGAAGCGGGCAAAGACCTTGGACTATAAGGACAAAGTTGGGAGTCGGGGCAGGAAAGAGAGTATTGGAAGAGAGGGAGGGTTTAGTATATCAGGGTCATTTATTAATAGGTGAAGGCTGAAGAATAACTTAGTGCAAAACTAATTTCATTATTTTTTTACTCTACCCAAAGAATCATTACAAATGTGGCAGCCTGCTTTCCACCTTTCCTCTTACCTAACCAAGGAATTGACAGGGCCCTTTTGCCCTGGGGGTGGAGAAGGAGGCATGATAGTGATGGTTCTCTGCTCTGGGTTTCAGTGACACATCTATCACAACAACAACAAACTAACATTTACTGAGTCCTTACACTGTGCAAAATTCTGGTAAGTCCTCAAGTGTTTTATCCTATTTGGTCTTCATAAAAACCTTGAGATAAGTGCTGTTATAATCCCCAGTTTATAGATGAGGAAACTGAAGTAAAGAAAGGTTAAACAACTTGTTGAAGGTCACATGGGTGGTAAGTTGCCTGGTGTCAGGATTCAAATCTTGGGCCAGCCTGCTTCCAAGCTCTGTATTACTAACCATTAAATATTGCCTCCCCAGGAAAAAGAAATTACTGGGAGAAAACATGGATCTTTATACTTGGAAGCCTTATACCCTTGAATTGTACAAAGAAAGTTCTGGGGTGAAGGCAAGTTATTTCAAAGATTGAAGTGGGGAGTGATCTCTTTCTTACCATCACCATTTGAAGACAAGAGCTCTTCCTCATTTTCTGGGATCCTGCATGTACCAAATCAAAAGAGTGGGAAACAACCTAGGAATATTACTGATATGGAATTGTGTGTGTGTGTGTGTGTGTGTGTGTGAAGAAGATTCGCCATGAGCCAGCATCTGTTGCCAATCTTCCTCTTTTTTTGCTTGAGGAAGAGTAGCCCTGAGCTAACATCTGTGCCAGTCTTTCTCTATTTTGCATGTTAGTCACTGCCACAGCATGGCTTGGCGAGTGGTATAGGTTTGCACCCGGGATCTGAACCTGCAAACCTGGGCCACCAAAGCAAAGTGTGCTGAACCCAACCACTACGCCACAAGCCAGCCTTATGATATGGAATTTTAAAAGCTATCTTGGTAAGTGAGCCTCAAAATTGTTTATAAAAATAATAAAGCAATATGACATTTATGAAACACCAACTATTATGGTGTAATTCATATCTATTACATTACTAGTAAAGGGCATGTTGTCATGGAACATCCTCCACTGTCTACATATTGAGGCTTTGCTCTGCCTTTGGAGACAAAAGAGACTGAGTTCATTATATTAGAGGACAATTTTCTATCCTTCCTCTCTGCATCATATTGGTGCCTCACAGCTTGACTATTTTACTAACAAATGGAGGACAGTAATGGAAAGAGATACGAGAAGAAAATTAGAAAACAAAATAACTATCTACAGCATGGTTATCTCAAAGGCCCTAGACACGACCTCTTGATTACTAGATAGCTAGAAGTTCAAATCCAGGCTGATGTCCCTGCTCTATTTCTTTTCAGAGGATAGCTAGAGAATTCTTCAATGGTTAAAAATGGGAGGTCTATCACAGGGCTTAAAGTTGGGGTTACTATAATCTTCAGTTAAGACAACACAGAAATGAGGTCCTTGATCATGAGAAGAGGAAATAATGTGGTCTATGTCATCCTCTCTGCAAGGAAAGAGTTAACACAGGGGGACTGGTGGTTCAGCAGAGTGATAGGAGATGGTGTTGAAGAAGTAGTCTGGGGCCAAAACATGGAGGGCATTGTAGGTCATGTTAAAGAATTTTGGTGTTATCTTAATTGTGATGGGGACATCACTGGAGAATTTAAATGGGACAGTGATGTTATCTGATTTATGGTAATTTCGGTACTATGTAGAAAACGTATTTTTAGGGGGAAAGATGGAAATGGGGAGACCAGTTTCAGTAGCCCTGGTAATTGACTATCACAGCTTGATATAGTACTGTAGCAGTGGAGTGTAAGAAGTAGTGGGGTTCAGAATGTAGAGTGGTGGATGAATGAATGCAACTTTAATGTCACTGGGTCATAGTAGCTTACTATACTTAGGAATAACCCTGAGAAGGAGACATGGTGGGTGCTGGGTTTTGGGATACCCAAGCACTAGCAGGTTTCATTTCTTTGAGCTCAATTTGGGCTGAGGAGTAAATCCTTTCCTTTTTGCTGTGCTTTCTTCAGGAAGCATGGACTAGGAAGAGAAGCTTGAAATAAGAAAAGATATCTTAAAGAAAACTTTTGGAATTAGATAAGGAAGATACAGTGAAATATTTAATATCTTGCATTCTGGCTAAGTTTGTCCTTGGCAACTTACTTAAAAATAAAACTTTCAGAAGGCATCTGTATAAAGATCTTTTTAGTGCTTCTATAGGCATAGAAAGTAGGGTAATAATCTGCATCACACACAGAGATTAATTGTCTCTCATTTAAGTTCTTTTTCTCCTTACAGTAACACACACCTTCAAGTTTAAGTTCAGCTATATCCACCCAGCTACAGACTCTGTTTCTTGGCCTCCCTGGGAGCCAGATATAGCTATATGAGTACATTCTGGCTCATGGAACGTGAAGGGAATTATGTGTGCAATCCTACCAAAATGTCACAATCTTTAAAAAGAAAGCTGCTCACCATTCACTTTTTTTCCCCTGTTGGCTCAGACTGAAATACAGAAGTTATGATATGAGTTTGCTGCAAGTCTAAATGACGATCGTCTACACTAACTGAAGACACGACAAAGCAGCAGGATGGAATCCGCACCCCTGCATGACTTCACAGAGCAGAACTACTCTGATAGTCTTCCACCTGAGGCTGTTATGAGAGAGAATAATCAGCTTCCATTTTTGCTTGAAGAACTGTATTGTTAGATCTCTTGGTTAAAGTAGCACAGACTGTAAGCTATTTAATACATAATCATTATTTACTGAAATATATGCAATTCAAAATGCAGACAAATCATTGTATTCTATTTCTATCACCATTTAAAGAATCATAATCTTTTGTAGTTTATATATTTTTGCTTTTTCTTAAACTTACACTGATAGATGATTTTCCATGGTGGATTATTGGTCTCTTTCCCCCATAGGATATGAAATGTTGAGGGCTAGATTTGGTGCACCCCCAGAACTTGGTGTCAAAGTCAGAAAACTGTGCCCTTCAAATTGCATGCAATTAGAATCAACAAAAAAATTGAAATTATTACCTTCAGAAGCAACATTCTGAAATATAACTTATGGACATATTGCTGATGAGAATTTGGTTTCTCTGAACTCTTATTAAGAACACTAAACCATAGCTCGTGAATTTACGAGCTAATTATGTGCCACCAATAGAACTGTGGCGCTTAAAAGGGATATAAACATTTTAGAGAGAACAACAGTGTGAATTTGTATGTAGAGTTGTACAGTCTTATAGAGGGGTAGGCCAAAACAAATGTCACAATGCCAGTTGGTATAGGCACAAAAACAGGTACTATTGGGGGATAATCAGAGGGGCAATGAGATGAAAGATGCTGTCCTCTCACACTCTGCTTTCCTTGAAGAGGCTTGCAAGGGTGAAACTACGATGGGAAACTGCAAAAGACACTGTGCTCAGGAAAGGGGCGCTGTCCGCCTCTGCTTCTAATTTTTTATAGGATTGGTGTGAGAAGGGCCTTGCAAATGAGTGTGCTGAGGGTTGGATAAGTAGTCAAACTAGCCACCAGCCGTTCACGGGGAAGTTTCCCCCAAAGCCTGGGAATATTGTTTGTTCAAGAGTTGTTTACACAGCGATGATAATATCTGAAACCCTGTGGGTGACTGACACCTTTGCAGTCCATTCCATTGGGGTGAAGGGGAGTTTTATTGTTTTTTAAATGTATCTACTTAAGATGGTATCTATTGATTCTGTATTCTGAAATATGCACATATTAGCACATGTATACATGTACCTCTCAACTTCTATCCTCCAAACACCAGAATTTTCTTAGGTTTTCGTCCTTACATTATTCATACTTACCAATACCTTTTCTCTGAAATAGTTATAAAAGATTCTCCATCAAGAATTATTTATTTAGATTAATCTCTTGCTCAGCTTAATTTCAATATGGAATATATATGTACATATACATATATATTTTGCCCCCAGTAAATTCACATGGGTGCTTTATTTCAGTCCTGGTATTCTTTTAAAAAAACACTTTTACTTATACAAACTGATTTAATCATTCTTGTATGTAAATTTGTTAGTTTCTCCCCTTACATTCATATCTGATGTTCAATAACTTCACCATGAATTTTGTTTTCTGGAATAGTATTCATTTTTGACTCACAAACTCGGCTTTCTGCACTTCATTTACATCTTTAAAATTTTTTTTGCTCTGTTTACTCTTATCTTCTCCATATTTTAGATCTCGTTTTGCTTATCCCACATCTACCATTCCCCTTATCATTTTCATTTTTTGTTCCTTTCCAGGTATATTCATTTAAACATGATTTTCTCTGTGTAGTGGAAATGGCCCACACAGCTGTTTTTCTTTCTCCATTGCCTGTCCACCTCTCTTTCCATTCTTCCTTGTTCCAAAAATAGAATCATTATTTGGGTCTCCCAGTGCTATTTGAATTGAGGAAAATCTATAATTGTTAAAGATCTTGATAAGTATGTATCATCTCTTGGTATACTTCATCAATTTGGTCCAAAATGTACTGTCTTAAGCAAATAGCTTTCAGGGAAACTGTGTTTTAATTTCAGCAGTTTCCTAGTTGCATTGTAGATAACATTTTTTTATCTTTGTGTTCATTTTGATAGACTTCTCTTTGGTGGGGAAAAAAATAGAATAAGCATGGCTTTCATTAGTCGCATTTTACCGGATATCATTAATACAAATTGTTTCAGTTTCCTTAACCTTAGACAAAGGTAGGAAAGCCTATGAAATCCTAATTCCCATAAAGGAGAATTCAGAGGAGACAAACATCCCATGATGCCATATTTAGTTGCCTAGTAGAGAGACAAGTTTAAAAATAAAAAAGGCAGCATAGTCTTACCATATAATCCAGCAATTGCACTTCTAGATATTTATCCAATTGATTTAAAAATTTATCTATACACAAAAATCTGCCAAGTGAATGGATAAATAAACTGCAGCATATAATACAATGGATTACTTTTCAGTGATAAAAAGATATGAATTATCAAGCCATGAGGAGACATGGAGAAAACTTAAATATATATTGCTGTGTGAAAGAGGCCATTCTGAAGTGTATGATTCCAATTATATGACATTCTGGAAAAGACAAAAACTATAGAGACAGTAAAAAGATCAGTGGGTGCCAAAAAAGATTAGGAGTTTGGGAGTAGAGGGGAAGTGTTGAATAATCAAGGCACAGGAGATTTTTAGGATGGTGAAACTATTCTATAAGATCATATAATAGTGGGTACACAACATTATGCATTTGTGAAAACAAATAAAATTGTGGGTAACTTAGTAGATGGAGAGGAGAAAGCAATCTCCCATGCAGAGGAAGTACAAATAATTTACGTAGATTCTTTGCCCTCAAGCAGAGAGAGTGTAATTCCTCATTCCTTAAGTGTGGGCTGCAGTTTTGACTTCCTTCCAAAGAGTACAGCATGAAAAGGGGCAAAACAAAGTAACTTTACAGTGGAGAAATATAACAATTACTACCTCAGCCAGGTAATGAAGGTCTATATCATCAGTAATGTTGATTGCTTGCACTCTTGATATGATATGATGAAAATAGTGCTTTATCTCTGTAACCTTCTTGTTTCAATCTATAACTGAAGTCTAATCATGAGACAAACATAGGACAAATTCCATTAGAGAGATATCTTACAAAATATCTGACTAGTGCTCCTCAAAATAGTCAGCATCCCTGAAAACAAGAAAAGTCTGATAAATTGTCATAGCCAAAAAGAACCTAAGGAGACACGATGACTAAATATAATGTGGTATCATGAATAAGATCCTGGAACAGAAAAGGGATATTAACTAAAAACTAAGAAAATGTGAATCACAATAGACTGTAGTTACCAATAATGTATCAATATTGACTCATTAATTATAACAAATATACCTACTGGTGAAATATGTTAATAATGGGAGAATCTGGGTATATTGTATGTTGGAAATCTGTACTATCTTCTTGACTTTTTTTTTTTTCATTTAAAACTGTTATGGTGGAGATAGTTTTAAAATTTTCTCTTACCTTCTAAAAGGAAATATTTTTGTCAACTTTTGTTTGGCTGTATCTCCTTCAAATTCTCCTCCCTTTCCTACCATAACTCTTCCAAGTCACGCTGTTGGTACATGTGGGATGTGAAGAATGCTAACATTAAGAGAAAAGTCAAAAGAAGAGATGAAGGATATCAAAGAGTGCACAACTCTGCTAGACCTAGTTGGGATTGGCAGAAAAACATGGACAGAATAGTTCATTTCCCGTGATGAAGCCATGCCTATGACAAAAAAGATTAAAAAGAGATTATACCAGACAATTGTTGGATCACATTATTTATCTCCTTGAATTCAACATAGAATTTACATTCAAAGAGTGAGATATTTATTCCATTTCTCATTCTTTATAGAATAAAGGAGTTGATGTATGACGTAAAATAATCTGTCCTTCTTGCAAAATGACAGAAGCTTTCAAATGATTTTGCAGTTTTGCTCTGGTGGAAAAAGAAAATTAATGATCATCGTAGTGACCATAAAAATATTTTTTTGATTGGGAAAGATTCAGTGACATTGAACCGAGTAATAGTACCAATTGCTAAATTCTCATTCTTAGAGTCCATCAGAGGAATGTTGAAAACTTGATTATATTAAGTGACAAGAGAGAAAGAAGCTTTAGGACCAGTGGAAAAAAACTACAAAAATAATTGAATTCTTACACTATAGTTTAAACCTATCTAACAGAGTAATGGAGTTCAAGAAAAAAAAAATTACTTCTAAATAAGACTCAAAATATTTTCTACACATAAGTGGCTGCAAAGTGGCCTGCAAAAGAGAAAAAGAATGACCTCTGTGCATGGGTATCATACTTTCTGCAAGAGTAAAAAGCCATTCAGAATCCCTCAGTCCATCCCACATGCCACAAAACTAGTTGGTCAAGGACTATGAATCTACTGAAGCCTCAAACACATAATTGAACAATTAAACTTTCACGGTTCAATTTTAAGAGCTCTGAATGTCTCCATTATTTGCCAGAGGAAGAATGGTGAGAGGACTACTTTTTCTCAACTACTTTTTTTCCCTCTGATCTGCTTGACTACTTCCATTACTTGATTGTCATGAAAACTGTATCAGCGTCATTTGAAAGAATTCTCTTGGAAACAAATATTAAAACAGATTTATTGGATAATTATCATTAAACTAATTTGAGAAAAGTAAAATGTCACTGATTGCCTTTTTATTTCGTATTCTGCCTTTATTTTTAGATTTTTAATTTTGTAAATTGTTTAATGTTCTGTTTTTATTTTTTAATATATTTTAACAGTTTATTAAGATCATTCATGACTTTGGATCTCTTAAATCCATATCCCACCCCTACAAATAATTCCTTACTTTCTTCAATCAGTAATTATTTCACCAGTTTCAAAAATCTAACCTTGACATTGGGGAAGAACTTTTAAAATTATAGTGTAGATTCCATAGAAATAATTATTTATTTGCACAAAGTTTAATGTTTTTTTTTCAAAGTAATTAGTTATATTAGTTATAAGGCTAGTTGACGTTTTCTCAATTCTTGATTACATTCGTGAACAGAAATAAAAATTTTAATCTAAGTTAAAAATGTCAGGGTTGTTACAGGCATAAAATTAAATGTTGTACTATTTTTGGCTATGCCACCACTCATTAATTGCAACTTTTTCAGTGTTTTTTTATTGTGGTAAAATATGTAATAGAAAATTTGCCACACTATTTTTAAACGTACGATTCAGTGACATTAGTCACGTTCACAATGTTGTGCAATTATCATCACCATCTATTTTTAAAACTTTTTCATCAACTTAAATAGAAAGTCTGCAACGTTAAGCAATAACTCCCATTCCCTTCTCTCCCCAGCTCCTGGTAGTCTCTTATCTACTTTCTGTTTCTATCAAGTTGCCTCTTCTAGACATTTCACGTAAGTGGAATCATATAATATTTGCCCTTTTGTGTCTGGCTTATTTCATTTAGCATGTTTTCAAGTTTCATCCATGTTTAAGCATGTATCAGAATTTCATTCCTTTTTAAGTATGGATAATATTCCATTGTATGTATATACGCAGTTAATTGCAATTTTTGAAAAATAAAATCCTTCTGGATTTGTGCAATGTAGGAATTCCTTCTGTTGGAATTAAATTTAGCGATAAATATTAAAAATGTATTAAACATTTTTTCCTTTTCTTAAGCCTATGGTAGAAATTACAGACTAACAAAGTTCAGATTATGAAATATCATTTCTGGATTTTCACTGTTATGTTAATGATGCTCTGCCTTTTCAGTTATAGTTGCTCTTGAAACATAAAACATGGTAACTCAGTGAGATTAAATAGAACAAGGAAAGTTATATACCTCCTCTGTAAGTTCAAGCTTTCTGTGATATGACAAATATTTGTGAAGTATACATAACTCTTATACCTGACAACACTACAAACCCTACTACTCAAGATGGATCACAAAATTTCAAAAAGATCTATCATTGTATATAGCTCAATGTATCAACTAAACTGAGAGAACTGCAGAGAATACACTTCTAGGATTGATTGTGGATTGTGCTATTGGCAGCGTCAGTTGTTTTTTACTATAATAAGTTTGTTACTAAGAATGTATTTTATTCCAAAAACACAGTTTCAGCCAGGTGTTTGAAACTTGCAATATATTTCCCAATGACAATGTTTGAAAATCTAGTCAGTCTCCCTTATGAATCCTACTATTTGATATACAGCTAAATCTACAAACACCAGATTTTGTGTCACCAAAACTGTTGTTCAAGTTTATTTTCCTAAACATATTTCTAATAGTGATTCCAAAGCAACTTTCTTTCCATTTAGTCCATCCAGGACTTCAGTACTTCTTGCTACCAGTATCCATATCTTATTCTTGGAAGGAAATAATCCTATCACCTGAAATTGTGACGAAAACAGGATTTCAGGGGTGGGTGAGAAGCAGAAATATTGACCAAAGTTGGATATTTGCTCAATTTCATTCAATGAAATTAATTAATTAAGTTCAGCGACATTATTTTTGTGTATTCTGCTGTGTTAAAAGGTATAGAGAATATAAAGACAAATGAGACACAGCCCCTCATCTCAAGGAACTTGTGGTTTAAGGATCACAGAGGAGATTAAGATTCCTCAAATAAAAGACTTGTTTTGGAAAGCACCCTATACACGTGTTAAATAAAATTGTATGGATGCATTGAGTACATCTGTTTGAGAAGTCGTGAAACATTCATAGAGCAGGCAAGAGTGGAGATGGACCTGGAACAATCTAGGGGCTTTTGAAAATCAGAGTTGGGAGTTTGACCACCATGGGCAGGAATATTGTTGAGTAGTTATATATGAGAGATTTTGAAGTAGGGCACAGCTTTTCAGCTCCCAATCTGGAAGATGTTTGAAAATTAGAAAAGGAGAGCACGGAGGCATGTTGTCCTGTCTGTGTTTGTGACTGTGACAGGCTTGTGCACATGATTTTACTCAGTAATTAAAGCCAGACTGGAAATGACATAAATTTTTGTCTGTACCTGAGCTTGAGTTTAATTGAATTAAAAACTGTGAGTGAAGAGTGGGATAAATCTACTTCTCATTAAAAATTACAGAAGTAATTCATGTTTGTTACCGAAAAATTAAATACTAGGAAAAAAAGGAAAAATAAAGGAAAAAAAGAGGAAATAATTCCCAATCAAACTTTTAGTATAAGATGTCAATATAAAAACAGGCATTCAGTTTTTCATTAAATAATAAGAATGTCCACATAAAAGTAAGATTATAAAAAATAATTTATCAGTTTGAAGCTGGGGGAAGTGCCAACATTACTCTACAAACTTTGAGCAATTTCTGTTAGCTATGTACAGATGAGACTTTTTAGAATAAGTCTCTAGGCACTGAAGACAGGCAGTTTTTTGGAAATTTAAATAAAAGGCATCAAATAACACTGCAAGTAATCCTAATTTGAAAAGATGAAGGCCAGAAGAAAAGGTAGGTGATTGGAGAAGTGGAGACTCTATTAGTGTTGAGTAGGCTGACCTAATCGACACCAAAATTTTAATGTCTTAAGAAAAAAATTTTTTGTTGTTTCTCATCTAATATTCCCTGGGCTGTTATTCAGGTAGATAGATGACCTTTCTCTATGCAGACATCCAGGGCAGACAATGTAGATGGCAAGATCACCAGAGGCATGACCATCAGCCAGAAGTCGGGGGTGGAAAAGATGGAGGTTTGCTCCTGGGGGGTTTCCATGGGCCAATCTTGGAAATGGTAAACATCACTTCTCCTTATGGCTGATTCATTAAAACAATCATGTGTCCACATCCCATTGCAAGGCAGGCTGAGAGCTGCAGTCTAGCTGTGTCTCCCAGAAGAGGCAACCGATATGTGTTTATTTGCTTGTATGTTCCTTTCTTTGGTGGACAGCTAGCTATCTGCCACAGAGGTTATTCTGCTTCTGGTACTATTTACTGTTTAATTATGGTCATATGAAAGAAAATCTCTGGATGGACTAACAGTTTCTACTTTATATTGCATAACTCCTTTGCAACAAATGCATATTATTAGTATAATAAAAATTTTAAAAAATCAATGAGGTGAACATCAGCCCAAATGCCATGATCCAGACTACACCTACTGTTAATATTTACACATTTGTATTGATGTCCCTTTTGATCAATCTTTCTCTCTCTCTCTGGCTAATCTATCTATCTAATATTGCTCCCTTAAATTTGCCAAAGATTTTAGTCCTCAATGATGGAGTCAAATCTCATTATTTTAAGTGAAAATTTATTTATTTTAAGATATCAGATAACTCACAGACTCATTGGGAGCACTGGCATACCAGATTTTGATATTATGTTTTTTCTTATTGGTTATTTAAACAGCTATTTTTATTGTATACATAGCCAGCCATCTACTGACCTCTATTATAAGTACCAAGAGTTTTTCAGTTTATTTTCATATACTTTTCAGATAGGCAATTATCTCTGCAATAATAGTATTTATCTCTTCCTTTCTAATAGTTATATCTTTTTTCATTTCTTTTCTCATTGCATTGACTATCATATCAAAAAGATACTGAATAATACATGCTTTTTCAGGGCCTCTCTAAATAAAGCAAACAAATACTTGATGGCACTTGTAGGCATAAAACTTTTTTAAGTAGATATTTGATAACAGGAAATTATTATTAGGACTAAATATTTTTCTGTCCACGTTTGCTTATGGAGTTATTTTTACTGTGCATATAAGAGAGAATCAGGGTTCTCAAATTCTGGCATGAAGCCATCATATAATTAACCTGATAGTTTACGTAAAAATAACTCCTATTATAACAAAGTTACCTCAAAAGCAGATTAATAAAGAGAAGAAAATAAAATCATCAGTGATTCTATTGTTCAGAAGGATCTGTTATTATGTATGTACCTACGTTCAAACACATCACACACACATATATACAGATACACATTTTTTTAAAAAACTAGATCATATGATCATTTTGATTATGCTACTTAATAATAAACCAAAAGTGTATTCTTGTGTCAGCAAATCATTGCATTCCATTGCAAAAATTGCTGTAATTTATTTACTGCAGAAAAGTTGTAGCTCTAGATATTAACTTATGAAGATACCTTATTTCTCCACACCTAAGCTATCATTTTATTTTAGAATTTTTTTTCAGGAAGATTAGCCCTGAGCTAACATCCACCACCAATCCTCCTCCTTTTGCTGAGGAAGATTGGCCCTTGGCTAACATCTGTGCCCATTTTCCTCTATTTTATATGTGGGACGCCACCACAGCATGGCTTTCCAACTAGTGTGTTGGTCCATGCCCAGGATCTGACCCCACAAACCCCAGGCCACTAAAGCAGAGCACGTGAACTTAACCACTGCACTGAGGAGTGGGCCCCCATTTTACATTTTTTAAAGTCTGAATTTTTTAAATGTAATAATCTTATGGCTCAAAGCCCCTTAAAAGCTGAAATTATATTTTGTTCGGCGTTTTATCAAGTATTTATTACAGGTCAAAAACATTATTTTAGTTTAACTAAATAATAAATTTTAAATTCATTCAATTTCTAGAAGAGTAATGATGCACAAAAGAAAGATTAATCAGAATAAGAACAGATGTCAAAAAAATTGTATTGGGTCCCATAGCATATAACTTCTACAGAACTTTGTGAAAATTTTCCATTGTT